CGGAGCTATCAAAATAGGGGCGAGACCCTTTTGGGGTAGGGGCGTGTTTGTTTTGGTGATTTGATATATCAACACTGGCTACCAGAAATCACTTACCCCACCTTTAAGTTCAAAATAAATGTAAATGTAAACGTAAAGAATAAAATAAAAATGTGACTTTTAATGCGATCTCAAAACACAACCCTCACGCACCATTTACAGATTGCCACCAGGTGAGTTCTCCTCTGCTGTCTCTCTGGTAGATGACATTCTCTACCCTGTGGCTGTTGTCGTGATGATAGGCATCATACGGCATCTGAGAGTCACACTTAAAGCACTTATTTAAATCCTGCACAAAGACATAAGAAAGAAACAGTGAGAAAAAAATGTTCATTCAGCAAAAACACTCAGCAACAGCAGTTCAGTCTGACAGGAGCCTCTCCACACCTTTTTTCAGGTACATTTTCAATTGTAACGACTTAAACCAGCATGGCTCGCAGCTCAGGTAGCTGCCAAGACATACAAAAATCTGGGTCATAGCCTGAGCAAAATATTCCCTCAGAATGGGGGGCAAGTTCCATGCCAACCTGGAAACAGAGGAGGAGAAGGGATGATGGGCCTAGGGATAGGAGAAGGAGAGAATGGGCCTTCTGGATTCAGGTCAGAACATGAGCGTTAGCGTGGACGAACGCCAGAGCACTTTGTCTAAGCCAAGTTGTTGTCATGAGCAACAAAACCTCCAGCAGTGGCCAGGCTAAACCGACTGAGACACGTGTATTTCTTCAGCTATCTTGAAAAGGTCACATCGACGACCAGGGGAAGCTCAGTATCTATTTCAGATCTTTACAAGCTCTGCAGGACACTTATATCAGCACTTCTACAATATTGTGCTTACCACACTCTAGACACATGCTTACTCGGGTAGTTTTGAGTGTGAGCTGCCAACAATAGGATTAGCAGTGATCAACTGGATTATGAACTACAGGAATGCTATGCTGGGGCCCTGCAAAAAACACATTTCTAATTCCTCTAGCGCGACTTAACAGCTCTGTGGATTTACACAGTTTAAGTGCATGGAGTGAAATAAGGGATAATACACTCTAAAAAATGCTGGGTTGTTTCAACCCAATTTTGGGTCAAATATGGACTAACCCAGCTGTTGGGTTAAAAAGTTAATTTAAAAATGTAACCAAAATTTAACCCAACAGTTGGGTTAGTCCATATTTGACCCAACATTGGGTTGAAACAACCCAGCATTTTTTAGAGTGTAGAGATAAAGAAAGGCACTTTCTAATATTTCTGGTGTCCCAGTCTAGTTTAGGAAAGGTTTTATTTTTATTTTATTTTTTTGATGCAAGATTATATACACAAGGAATAGGATGGTCAAGATGGTTAAGTTTAAATTTATATTTATAAAAAATAATGACTTGGATATGTCTAAATAGTTATTTTTATGCTGAAAAGACACCACAATTAAATTACACAATAGTTTAAATCAAATTGAGAAAATAATTGTTTACAAAATATATTTTTTAGGTTTGTTAAGATGTATTCACGTTAAGTTCTATTTATTTAGCAAAATTTTTATTAAACATGGTCTTATTGTGAAAAGTCGTTTACAAATAATTCTCAATTAATCTGAAATATTTCTTATATATATATAGTTTATACATGCAACATTATTTTAATGGGAGTAGAAAAAAAAGTAAATTAATAAAGTAAATATTTCCATTCCAAAAGCCAATTATTTTATTTAGGAAACAATAAATTGATAAATAAATAAATAATAAATAAATTCATTCATTCATTCGTTAATCCATACATCCATTCTTATTCATTGAGTCAATCATCCAGTCTTATTTATCCATCCATCCATATCTATCCATCCTTATTCATTCATTCATTCATCAATCCATCCATCCATCCTAATCGATCCATTCTTATTCATTCAATCATTCATTCATTAATCCTCATTCATTCGTTTGTACATTCATCCATTCATCCATCCATTCATTCATCCATCCTCATTCATTCATTCATTCATCAATCCATCCATATATTCTCATTCATTCATTCATTCATTCATCCTCATTCATTCGTTTGTACATTCATCCATTCATCCATCCATTCATTCATCCATCCTCATTCATTCATTCATTCATCAATCCATCCATATATTCTCATTCATTCATTCATTCATTCATCCTCATTCATTCGTTTGTACATTCATCCATTCATCCATCCATTCATTCATCCATCCTCATTCATTCATTCATCAATCCATCCATACATTCTCATTCATTCATTCATTCATCCTCATTAATCCATTCATCCATCCATCCTTATTCCTTCATCCTCATTTATTCATTAATCCATCATCCTCAATCATTCATTCATTCGTTCAATAATCTATCCATCCTTATCCATCCTCATTCATTCATTAATCCATCCATCCATCCTCATTCATTCATTAATCCATCCACTCATTCATTCACTGTTATTCATTCGTCCTCATTTATTCATTCAATCCATCCTCATTCATTCATTTATCCATCCATCCATCCATCCATATTTATTCATTCATCCAGACTTATTTATTCATTCATTCATATTCATTCATCCATTCCAATTCATTTATAGCCATTCATCCATCCTTATTCATTCATATTCATTCATTTCTTCCTTCATTCGCTCATTCATGCATTCATATTCATAATATGCAGGTCTTTGGCATCAACAAGTTAAAAAACCCCTGGCCTATAGGATGTTTAGATGATTGAAAGGTATAAATCTTGTAATGTAAAAAAGACCAGAGTAAAAATTATGGATCAAGTACCACACAGTATTACTGTGCTTTTCGATAATAATAAATAACAGAGCAGTCATTTAAAACTAGAATTTCCATTTGACACTCTTGACGGATATATTGCATTACAAACGGAAATATGGAGAACTCTGCAGACACTCTACTGACAAACAAATTGTCAGACCGCTGACAGGTAACATCTGCACTGACGACAAAATGAGCATAACTCTCTCTGTCTAGGATGTATGGTGCCTCCAGGCAGTTGAACAGTTTGTTAACTTTATGCACCCAAAACGCTTTAATGAGAGGAACATACATAGAACCTAAAAGAACACCAGACATTTTAAATAGACATTCATGAAACATTAAACAGTCAATGAAATTACATTTTATGAGGGCAGAAAAGAGTGCTGTATAGACACCTGAAGGAAAAGGGAGGAGTAGTGATTCAGGATAAAAGAGGAAAAGCAAACAGAGGTAGATGAATACAAGATCTTTTAAATCACACACGTATCGAACAGAAAAGCCTTAGGCCGCAGATTTTACTTCAGTGTAAGAGGTGTGGCATACTGAGCAACACACGTGCAAGACAGCAATGTGTACAGTATCGTGTAATCTAACAAGTGTGCAGGTGTGTGTGGATAAAGTCTTGCCTTCATTTTGGGGATCAAATCCCTATAAGGATAGTAAAAAAAATGCACTGTGGTGCTTGAACAAACGGTTTTAATAAAGTTGTGAAGGAACAGGTAATGTAGATGACAGATTTTTGGGTGAACTATAATTTTTATGAAAATCTACAATTGGCAAACAACAGACGTCAATGGAAAATCCCTGGCATGACTTAAACTGTGTTGAACTAAAATCAATGCAATGATATTTTGATGAATGGTAAGTTTTCATTTGCACAAATTTACCTTACATTTAAAAAAAAAAAAACTTCTAAAGGTGCTGCGTGCACGAGCACATCTATCTTCATATGACAAATAATTTCCGTGAGCGCAGGGCAAGGCCATACATGCAGGAGCAGAGAGCATGGTTTACACAGCATGAGATCATGTTTCTGTGTCTATATGAAAGAGAAAGAACGGTTCAGGAATAATGTTGGCTTTACCTGCAAATGACTGACAATGCAGTACTGCTCAGGCCCATCCAGGCCACAGGTGGAGGTGGCAGTCAGGTTAATAGCTCGGCCAATCAGAAGGTTTCCCGTCGCCGGATAACAGCTGCCTTCCATGCAGCCGTGTGGGGCAGAGGGCAGCTCCTGAGCCACAACTGGAAGAACTTAAGAGAACACAGACAGGACGTGTCTGTCATTAGCTGTGTATTTTGATTCACAGAGTCCCCAAGCAGTGTTTACTTCTTCCTACAGACTTAATTTTTTCGACTTGTGGGTAAATTTCCTTTTCCACTTGCTGTGAAGTGACTTCTTATACATATACTCCTTAAGTGCCTTTTGAACATATTCACATATACATTATTCACTACAAATTTCACTTAAGATGACCTAATATTCCACAGTTGTGTGACTGGAATGTACCTTCTAAGGAAGTGGTGAATGCAATTGATCCACATCAAGATAATGTAAAAACTCATGCATCAGTTTTTCCTGACCCACGCCACACTTTTCTTTCCTCATGACAGCCAATGATTGGATGGCGCTGCATACAAGCAGCGCGGCTTCTGTTTGATGACCTCGTGGGGCTCACGGTCCCACCCAGGCGGCAGAATCAAAGACTGAGGGTTTAGTTTCTCATTGAGTCAGGAAAATAACTGGCTTTGTTCCACATGGTTACCTCTGCAAAGGGAGAGCTCAAAATGCTCTGCGTTTGCCTTTCAAAATCCAGAGTTCATCATAGGGTTATCAGACATTGTCAAATCCAGATGTGTGGGAGGTCTTACATGGATTTCGAACATTCATCTCTAACTTTGTGGAACTATCATTACAGAGGACTAGCATGTAACCGCACCCTCAAACTATACCAGCTCATAATGGGTTAGGATGTGGCAGGTGGAGAATGGCGATAATCATGTGACTGTACATCTCAATGTGTTTGACCTCTTTATCATTGCTTTATCATTACAACAGACGGGTCTCGGCAGTCAGGGGCTAGGAGCCTTTTGGAAAACCAATGTCCTGGTCAATCTTTGGGCCCCTCGGTGCAAACTTTTTTAACACACCGCTGAATCTGAATAATAATGCTATCATCTCAAAACAGAACAATGAGAGAATGAGCAAATGAAGAAACAAGAGTGGACACAGTGAAAGTAGAAGATGACTATGCGTGGATGGATATGAGTATATTTCTGTTTCTGATATTATATCAATGTTACACAGCCAGAAAAATCTCAATTACTATTAGAGTAATATTGTATATTTTCTCTATATTAATATTAACAGTAAATTACCATCATCACTCTCATAACCTTAATATTCAAAAACACCAGTAATAATACTGTGATGTCTAAAATCTCTTGTAGCATTTAATCAATGATCAATTTTAGTTTTTAATGTTGTATTTTTAATTTATTTAGAAAAAACTGAGTGGAATTTTAATATCAGACATTTATCAGTTTTCAGACATGACACAAAAATAATTAATGTATTAGTGGCCATCAAAATATTGGTGCATCTCTACAAATTATTTGAATAAATTTACAGGAATGTACCATTTGACTTTAAAATACAATACTATAAAATACAAATACACAGTACATGAAGTCATCCAATTAATTTATATAGCCTAGTGCTTTTCACAATACACATTGTTTGAAAGCAGCTTTACAGAAAATCATGATGTTGGTGTTTATAATATCTTAATATCCTCATTATAGTCACATTTAGCAGATTAGAGCTGGGCGGTAATATTGTTTAAACTTTTTTGACAAAACAAGCTGGAGATAATATAGTTTAGATTTTGCAATGATATAAATAATCACACAACCGAGATTGGCTGTATTGCTTTATGTGTACTGTATGTATGCAGGTAAAGTTTTATTTATCTGTTTATTATATCGCTGGGCGATACTTTAATATATCACTAGGCATATAATCAGTAAATCATTCAGTTACCCAACATTGTTCTTTGCACAAGAGTGCAGATAAGCCTACAAAGTTCATGACAGTATCAAAACCTGGCCCCTTCTCAGTTAAAAAACGAAAACAAGCACCATAAATTCCATTTGATTGCGTCAAGGTGCTAAACAGTGTGTGAGAGCATTGAAAGGCTTTATGGTTAACTCACGTACAGTAAATTCCCACATAATGAAGGAATAAAGGTCCTGATCTGAATCCTGAATGTGTGACCGCACACATCCGACTCTCCCTGGGTAAACAATTGTGCTATATGTATGTTAAACATCCAAAAACCACCAGGACTCGATAAAATTTTAATATTAAAAAAAATTATATAAAATGTTTAATAAAATTAAACCGTTTTATAAAACACATTATATACATATACACTATAATTAAAAAAAAAAATTCTCCACAGGTCTAGCATAAGCTCTGATAGCATAACCAATGGAGTTTACAATTACATCTCTCAAGGATATGTTGACCTCTATGTGTGTTTGTTTATTATATTTGTAAGAGTGAGAGCTGGGGATTCCCGTGAAAAAAAAAATGTCCGCAAATACCTTTCGTTCACAATCTCGCTAGGTTTCTAAGAAGATGGGGGTATTTCAAAGGCAATCTGTTGAGAGTTCAGGTCGCTAATTACAGGACAGGCGTCTTGAGGAACTTTCATAAGCATAGAGTGTGCTTCAGTCTTTACAGGCCACACACACCAGAAAATACCATTTCTCTACAAAGGGTTTTCTGCCTTATAAGAGCTGATGCTGCTGCAACCCTCATAACAGATTCCCTGAGGTAAAGGATGCATTTAACACTTTTTCTTCATGACTTCTCATGTTCTGACTAGCAAGGGCGAAAACGTGACTGTAAGAGCGTGTGTTTGTGGTTTGTTGAGTGGTAGGCAAGAATAGGTTTTGACTGTTTTGCCATAGTCTGTCATTGAGCCTCTAAAAATTATTTTTCTCCTTCAAAGTGTCAGCACAAATGTGGAAAAGAATGATAGAGGGAAAGAGAGATAAATAGGCATCACCTATAGAAAAATGGATGATATCTGTACATGCAGTGGATTATTCCCTCTTAAATCTTTCAGTAGACCAATTAACTACAATTAAAGAAATAAAAAACAAACACTGCGATCTAATAGTTAAAAGGCCATATTGGAGAAAATAAAAACAAAAAAATAACAATTTGTAACCACAAAGTAATTTCAAGCGCCATAATTTTCTTGCAATTTAATAAAGTAAACAGATACATATTATTTATATATATTTATACAACAGTTCTTTCTGGTTCATGAATCTTTCCAGCAGTGTGATATTACAGTGATAACAGAACTGTTTGTATCACTCCGCTTGCAGTATTTCTCACAGCGAGTGTCACAGTGGATGCCCAAAAGCACTGTCATTTTTTAAATAAGACTGTTTTTGCGTCACAGAATGTAGTTTTACATTTTTTAGGTGAGAATGTAGTTGTTTAGACTTCAAATATGCAGTTTGTTAATATAGATAACATCTATTTGAAAATTTGCTTCGAGGTTTTGCGGAGATGTGAGCTCCAGGGTGTCAGCGGCCGTTTAGCGCTCATGAACACACCGAGAGCAGCCTTACCTCGGCCAGATCTTCTGGAATTTACCACTGGCTCTTGTCTCTTTAGTGATTAAATATGAGATATAATTCATTTTGGGTAATCTATTGGGCAGTCTTTGTTCTCATTAATCTATTATTTGTTCCAGAGCATACAGTTTTGGCTGAGGGTAAAAACTCATCACATAATATTTTATATAAATGTAATGCTCTATATCAGAGCACTGCCTTTTTTTTTTTTTTGACTGAATTACCTAACAACTTTTATGATGGCTGTTGTTGTTGTTTATTAAATATCATTCAATAAATTATATTTGTTATAAATAGTAGTATGTAATAATAGTATTTAATATTGAGAAACGGTGTGTGTTTGTGATGATTAGTTACATTATTCCACTATTAGATGGTGACAAGAGATTTTTATGAATGAGTTAGCAGTAAAGACTTTTATATTGAAAGAGACTGAAACAGGGTTCTAAACAACAAGGAAGGGATCTTTATTTTCAACAACACTTTGTAAGACGAGCCAACAAATGCACCGAGCAGCGGAAATCACCCTTAACAGATGAAAGAATAGTATGACAAAGATATTGCTTTCCTCAGTGGACATTCAAACTAATATGTTATTGTGACTATGAGATTGAACTGAAGAATAATACTGTATCAGATGCAGGTAAATACGCTCGCTCAGTCCATCTCTCTCTCATAATACTCTACATAATACAGTGAGCTTTTAATACAGTAATACAATAAGCTTTTAATGAAGCAATTCAACATGCCTTCGTTACTAGTTCTAAAGTGACGTTTTTGAATTAGTAATGGAGGCTTGGGCTCAGTTGTTAAACTGCCAAACCGAGATTTGAATCTGTGGTGGAAGGAAGTAGTTCTGCACAAAAGAGAGTTTTTAAAGACACTGTGTTGTTGTCTCTTATTTATTTACACACTTGTGCCATCGAACTGTTGTATAAATGCAATATTGCACTCGTAGATGTGCGATATGACTGTATATGCATGCAGCCATGTATATAATGTAATAATGTAACTAATCATCATCACGAGGACACACCGTTTCTCAATATGGCTGTATATACAGCCATATCGCAATGCTACTCGTGTGATATTGCTCATTTATTTATGCACAAATATGTATTTAATATATGATTTAGTAAATTAACAAACCAATAAATGCCAGAATAGAACTTGTTATAAACAAGATCACAAACAATCATCTTTTATGTTGAGGGAGGCACATGGCTGCTTGCCCATGCATTCTCTAACACACCCATGAACTACATAAGCTACCGCACACCCTCTTACCTACATGCCACATTTACAACACACACAGATACAAGCTAAACATCTGGCTGAAGACACAACAACAATGTCTCCGGTTCCAGAGGCAGATGAGCATCTGCAATGTGACGACAGTACATGAATGCCAAGCCAGGAAAATGTCATTCATTAAGAGAAAAATTCCAGGTGTAAAAGTATCTCACACTGGTCTTACAAAATGCCCATCTGTAGCTAAGGAATGGCATTCTACAAACATTCGACAACAAGCCACCACATGTGCTGAACTGCATGTCATGAGGAAGCTGAGACCACCGCAGAAGAGACTTAATGTG